TATATATATATAACCATCTGTACTTTTTATTTATTATACATTTAATTAATGTAGTTTATATTCATTTGTATGAACAATACATATAATGAAATATTAAGTACATTACATATATTATGTAAAATTTATATATACCTATATCCTGTCCTGACGTATATATATGTATATGAAATATGTGAATAAAATAAAAATACATTCATTCTTTAAGTATTGTAAAAGATGCATTTATATACCCTCTTTACCTACTGTATATTTAAATTTGACACAATCGTAATTAAGGAGTAAACTCCAGTCGTGCGTCGGGCTGACAAACAAGTTTTTTTTGTCACTTTTACGTGTAACTCCGAATGGCTTGAAATCAAAGCGGAACTATTATCTGGTTAGCGGGCTTTTGGTCGTCATGACATAATTTCAAGGGTATTTCTTTTAAAGATGAAGAAATTCATCAAATTATTCACCAAAGACGAAATATTCGGCAAAGTGAAATGTTACATGTTAAAAGCATTACGTCTAACCATGTCATCGATTGTTTTGACGACCTAATAAAAACTGTTGAGAGTTTGTGAACACATAGTATATGGGTATTTAAGATTTAAATCTAATATATAACAATAGTTCTCATTTATGTTAGCCAACTCTAAACAGCACTGTTCTCACAATTGCTAGTTATTCTTGTGATTATTCTTCAGATATATTTCAGCTTGAGGTTGCTTATTATTAGTCATGCCTACCGATACATTTTGTTTAGTCTTATATAAGCAGAATGTTCAACACAATTTAACCATGTATTCGAAGTCGTAAGTTATCCGATTGTACCCACACATTTTATTTTTCCCTTAATAAATTCTAACCTACAGAGTCCTGCCGTTTTACTGAATAAAAACTTCTGGTGTTTCCCACCGTGTAATTTTCGATAAGGGAAGGTCTTTTGATTCAAACAAATTCAAAACATGTCTGAAAGAAAAAGGTGTGACTCATCAAATCACTCCGTGGGTTTGTCCCGTGATAATGGGCCAATAGAAAGGTAATAGATATTCGTCAACTACTTAATTAGCACATAATTTTCATATTTCAGTAATATCGGGTACATACCATAACTATCTTAACAGTTACATACGTATTGTAGCGAGCCGCGAGCGCCTTTCTTCATGTGTGTCGTACCTGAGTTGTGAGAAAGCAGTTAAACAGTTAAAAAAAAAATAAACTATCCGGATGTTTCCAGAAGGTTCCAGAATGTAAACAAAAGAATATTTAAAGAAAGAGACGATCGCCGAAAAAAGAAAAAAAATAAATTGACCGTTGCAGAAGTGAATCCAGAAATAAATTGACAGAGATAGAAGTGAAATAAACAGAATAGTGATATATCAACAGTAGTGTATATAAATAAAGTAATTCCTAACCTAAGTTTAGTAATAATTTAATAGTGTTTTTAAATTCTTTAACAATTAGTGTAACTAAATAGTTTTTGTTGTTATCAGTCTTAGAAGTTAATTTTGTTAAACCCACGAACATTACAACTGCTATCAGGTGTGGGTGGGGTTGAGTAAAAGACATTACAATGGGAAAGAAGTTGTACGAATTAAAAATAGCCGAGTTAAGAGAATTAGAAGAACGGGATGAAGCGACAAGCGGTAACAAAGCGGAACTTTAGTGGTGGCTCGCGGAGGCGTTGAAAAAGAATGGCCATAATCCTGAAACGTTCCTTTTCGAAGACGAATTGTCGCAAATGACGAAAAGTTTGGAAAGCAAATTAGAAGAAAACAGTAAAAGTTTGAAAAATGAATTGGAAGAAAACAGTAAAAGTTTAGAAAATAAATTGGAAGAAAATAGTAAAAGTTTGGAAAATGAAATGGAAGAATACGATTTTGACATGAATTTAAGAAGATGCGTTCTGAGACTGAATGACGAAGAATTCTATTTCATCAAAAACAGACAGGAGGCTGTAACCTGAAAGGTAAATTCTAAAACAGTACCTGTTGAAATAAGTGGAGTGATTGACAGATATTGTAGGAATCTAACCAGTGAGCAGAAATGTAAATTGCAACATCTACTTTGTCAGAATGCCAACGTCTTTGAGACTGACAAGAATGGTAGGGGAAGGACCACTATAGTAAAACACAAGATCAATACCAGTAATGCGCAGTCTATTCGTCAAAAACCTAAACGATTTCCTCTGGCCAAAAAGGAAGAAGCAGAGCGAATAATCCACGAAATGCAGGAGACCGGCATAATTGAGCCATCATCAAGTCCATGGATATCTCCGATAGTATTGGTAAAGAAGAAGGATGGGACAACCTGTTTTTGTGTAGATTACCTCCAGCTCAATAACGTAACCAAGAAAGACAGTTATCCACTACCACGGATTGATGACACCTTGGATATGCTTTCTGACTCGAAAATGTTTTCCACATTTGATGTGAAGAGCGGATACTGGCAAGTTGCTTTAGATGCTGCCGACAAGGAATAGACCGCATTCTCTATCGGCATGGGCCTATCGCAGTTTCAGTTATGCCTTTCGGGTTATGCAATGCCCCGGCAATGTTCGAAGAGTTGATAGAGAAAATCTTGAGTGATCAAATTGGAAAGACCTGCTTGATATACTTGGATGACATGATAGTGATTGGAAGCACCTTTAATAAACATCTGCAGAATTTGCAAGCGGTATTCCAGTGGTTACGTGAGGCCAATTTGAAACTCAGTCCGAAAAATTGCCACCTTTTCCGCAAAGAAGTTTCTTACTTGGAACATGTTGTATCAACGAATGGCGTGGCCGTGGATCTAGAGAAGATAAAAGCCGTGAAAGAATGGCCAGTGTCTGAAAATATCCACGACATAAGAAGCTTCTTGGGATTGTGCACGTATTATCGTCGCTATGTTTATGGATTCGTCAATATCGCCAAAACTTTGACACGTTTAACCCAAAAATGACCGCAAATTTCATTGGGATTCGGATTGTCAAACGGCATTTTACACTTTAAAACAGGCTTTAATCACAGCCCCCGTACTGGTACATCCTCGGCCCAATGGAATGTTCATTTTGGACACCGACGCCAGCAATGTGAGAATGGGAGCACTTCTTTTGCAGTTAAAAGATGGCCAAGAGATGGTAATCGGCTATATTAACAAGACCTTATCAAAAGCCCAAAAAAACTACTAAAGAAAATACCTATATGGACGAAAATTCACCCTGCGCACCGATGATGCAGCTTTAAAGTGGCTTCTGAATTTCAAGAATTCGGAGGGCCAGATAGCTCAATGGATAAAGAAGCTACAGGAATATGATTTTGACGTAGAGCACCGGCCTGGAACCGGACACAAGAATGCCGGTGCACTTTCCAGAAGGTCTTGTCAAACAGACTGCAAGCAGCAATTCGACGCATCACGGTAATCGACGACGAGTGGTTACCTGAAAATATAAAACACGACCAAGAAAACGACCCGGACTATTTTGGCAAGTGGGTTGAAGCCTATGCCCTTCCGAACCAAGAGCCAGAAAACAAAGTTGAGGTGCTGGTGAAAAAGTTGACCAGTCATTTTGGGGTGCCCTTGGAGTTGCACTCAGACCAAGGGAGGAATTTCGAATCGGCTATATTCCGTGGAATATGCGAGCTCCTAGGAATAAAGAAAACTCGAACTACTCTACTCCATCCACAATCGAACGGCATGGTAAACGAATGAACCGAACCTTGATTAAATATCTCTCCAAGGTAGTGTCTGATCACCAAAGGGATTGGGACCACTATTTGCTTTTATTCTTAATGGCATACCGTTCATCTGTCCACGAAACGGCTGGTCAATGAAGAGGTATTAGCAATAGGAGAACAGAAAAATCTATGGAAGTCAATAAAAAATAGGCGAGATAGGTTAGTAGGACACCTTCTCAGGCATGAAGGTCTAGTCAGGGACATATTAGAGGCAGAAACGGAAGTCAGAAGGAGAGGTAGACCCAGATTAGAATACTGTTCGCAAATAGTTAAGGATATGGGTTGTTCTAGTTTTAGTTTTCTGGTCTTAGGACCAACGACCTTATGATGATGATGATCTTTGAAAATGACCTTTTAGTTGATGTATATGTAAGAGATTCCTCATTAAATTCAGTGAAACATATACAAGTGTGTTTTATTATTAATTTTTCTTTTTATGAGTCCTAATTTTTTAACGAACCGTGGTAATCTGTAGTATATTTTAAACTCATATTATAAAAATATAATTTCTTTGATAGAAAGCTATTATCTACAATGTCATTATTTTAAAAAATATTAATGAATAATAAAGTTATACTAAAAATCGATTTAAAAAATAATGGGTCTGCAACAAAAGTAGATATACTTACAATTGACCATTATCAGGAGCAGAAGCAAATTTTTTCTGAATAACATTTTGAAGCGAATTACATAAGACGTTCTGTTATTCATTTAATAAGTGCTTCTCTTTTATATGAAAAATCGATCTTGATAAACAACAACTGTTCAACATGTACAATTGCCTTTCAATATAGACCAAGACGGAACAACTTTGAAAGCGTCATCACCATTAAGCACGTGTACAGCGTGGTTTTTATTAGTCTGTCAAGAAGTGGTGGCCCACGTTCGCACCTACCGAAATTTTCCAGGGTTGCATTCAGTGAGTTTGTTATTGTTATTTGCTGAGATCCGATTTGAAAACGATAGGTTATCTCCCATTTTGAAAATAGTATAATTATGATTATCAAAAAGTTTGAAAATAAGTATATTCAAAAATAGGAATTTGTTCGTTAACAAGCAATTGAGGCGTGCTTCATAAAAGCAGCATATATTCTTAATACAAATTTTCAGATATCACAAAAAACGTTTAACATCAATTTAAATTTATTGATAAAATTATATTACTAAGGTATTTTTGAAATGAATACATGCATTCAATTCTTATATTGTACAAAAAAAAAAACAGTTGGACATATGTTACTTTTGCAAGAAAAAGATGTAGATTTTAATTATTCTTATTGCTCCAAAACATACGTACATTTAAAAACAAAATACATTTAGCAAAACTTATAGAAACTCTTTATGATTTATTATTTTCCACTGTAATACCCAATATTTAACTAAGCATTTAGACAATGTAATATATAACAGACAATGTATATATAACAGACTTATATGTCGTTTGCATGATGCACGTTATTCATATGCAGTTTTCGAGAAATACGCAATATTTTAACTGCCTGCATCTTAGTTTCAGTAACATTTCTGCAGAAGTACGTTTGATACATAAATAAAATCTCATAAGATAAACCTACTAATTCAAGTTCAGTAATATAGACTTACGATGTTTTGTGAACCACGCCTCAATAAGGCTAGAAGTACTTCTCCATAATTCAACATATTTCTTGTCCTCGAAAATTTAAGATATCTTTTATAGTATTTTTAGTTTTAAATGCGGTCCTGCTCATTGTTTCAGTTTTCGGCAATCATGTGCACAATACGTGATTGGGTTTTTGTTCTACTTTTAAATGAACATAGTTTACTAAATTTCATTGTGTTGATAATACCAAGGTTATTTGCTGTTGTCAGGTGCGACTACTTTGTAGAAATTCTACGCAGGGTTATGATGAAAAACTACTATCTGAGAGAGAAGCGAACTTCTCCGTCTATCCGATAATCACTGTAGACCTAGTGGTTTGCTCTGCTCGTCATATTAAACTCCAGATAATTTTAACAAGATCGCACTTCGCAAGCATTTAGTTTACTCAGGGATGTGCAAGAAAATATCTATATAATTTGGAGCGAATACTGATTACTAAGAATTACTAAGAATTTGTCGGCTGTAAATAGAGCCAATTGTTGGCATTCAATTACTCACTGGTAGGCAACGGACGTCCACTCAGTCACTAACTGGAATAAAGACTGCATTTTCAAGGTGAATATTTTTAAAGTCAGCGTTATCTTTTGTTCATGTTGCACTGCTGAATTCAGTGTAATCCAATGCAAAATAGATATGCCGTTTAGTTGAGTGCAAAGTTATTTTAGATTTCGAAAATAAAAATAACCTTTTTCGAATTTCTAAATTAATCATTCGCGAGCATAGAAGTGACTTCTTTTTATTAAAGGCGACACGACCCTACGCTATCCTCGGCTTTATATCCCTACTACTCCTTCCGTCTGATATCCTAGATATCTAATATCAGCCACTTCTAATTTTTGCCTCCTATCTTTATATTTGCCCTTTCCCTACTTTTTCTTCCCTTGCATACCAGTATTTTAGTTTTACTTTTATTTATTTTCATACAGTACTGATCTGTCAGTACCGCTTCCATTTTATTTAAAGCTATCTCTAGGTCCTCCTTGCTAGATGCTAATACTGTTATATCGTCTGCAAATCTAAGGATACTAATCTTTTGCCCCTGTATATCTATCCCTACAGTTGTACTGTCTTTAATGATGTCGATCGCGCCTTCGATGTATAGATTAAAATGTAGCGGTGACAGTGTGCATCCCTGTCTGACTCTCTTTCTAATTTTTACTTCTCTACATTGCATCCCTAGCTCTATAACGGCCTGTTGCTCTTTATACAAACTAAGTATCATTCTTCTATCTATGTAACTCATCCCTACATTTTTAAGTATGTTTAATATCTTGTCTCATTTAACATTGTCAATGTTTTTTCTAAGTCTACAGATCCTATGTACGCACTCTTTTCTTTTTCTATCGTTTTCTCTATTGTTACCCGTAAAGCTAGAATGGCCTCCCGCCTTGCCTTGCTTCTTCTAAACCAAAATTGATCTCCACTCAATCCACTGTTCGTTAACTGCCCTACACTTCCTAATTATTTCCCACTTTATAAGTTTACATCTTTTTTGCCCTTCTTTGCCTGTCCTGTTTTTGTATTTCCGCCTTTCGCCTATTAACCCTACAATCTCATTTTTTATCCAGGGTTTCCTACTTCCGTTTTGTTTAAGACCTAGTATATCTGTAGCTGCTGACTTTAGGCACGTTTTAATGCAGTTGCATTCTGTCTCTATGTCCCCGTCATTCGTTTCTCCAGCCGCCTTTAGTATTTCGTCTGTCCTTTTACCTAGCCTATCACGCGTTTCGTTACATTTTAGCTTTTCTAACTCGAGACGTCTCCTACCTTCCCTTTTTTCCAGATTTTTCAAATTAAGATTGGTCTTCATAACTACTAAGTTATTTAAAAAATTAAAAGGAATACTCAACCCTAATTACCACAAATAATTTTATATGAGCGGACACGTGTTTCGCCAATAGTTTCAGGTATCAACTCACCGATTTATTTGCTTTCAAAATTTTTAACACAGGAATTCAACTCTTTACCTGTTCCTTTTAATTCATTTTCAATGGAAAACTCATTAGAATTCATTAATAAGATTACAAATATAACATTAGAACCAGGTGAAGTCTTGATTTCCTTTGACATTTGTTCTTTATTTCCTGGTGTTCCTATCCCAGAATCTTTGAAATATTTGGAAACGCATTTAATCAATAATAACATCAATAAAGATAAAAGGGAAGAGTTTTTAAGATTAACTTCATTTTGCATGGATAACACATTCTTCCAAATAAATCAAAACTTTTATAAACAAAATGAAGGTACAGCTATGGGTAACAGTCTATCCCCATTCATAGCAAATTTATTCATGAGCAAATTTGAAGTTGAATTTAAAAAGCATTCCAAATACTTTCCAAGACTTTGGGTACGTTACGTGGACGATATTTTTGCAATTTTTGATACAAATAAATATAATATTAATGATTTTTTAAGTGAACTCAATTCTAAATTCAAAAGCATTAAATTTACAATGGAAATAGAAAAGAAAGAACAATTGGCATTTTTAGATGTTTTAGTTATTAGAAATAATAATAAGTTAGAAGTTGACGTTTACAGAAAGGAAACTAACACGAACCGGTTCATTACATCTGATTCCAATCATTGTCTCCAGCACAAGTTAGCTGCTATAAACTTTCTCGTCAACAGATTAATTAAATTTCCTTTGAATAAAGATAGGTTCAACAAAGAATTATCTTTAATCAAAGATATAGCGAATCACAACGGTTTCCCTTCTGAAATTGTCAATAAAATATTAAGAAAACTAAAATTTAGGGCCTATATTAAAAATATTACAACTTTATCAAGTCCACCGCAAACTAAACAAAAATTTTTCACATTACCTTTTCACCATATAGCTTCAGGAATAGACAAAATTTTTAAAGAATTCAACTTCACTAGGATCTTCAAACCAAAAAATAGTCTTAGAAATCTTTTAGGAAACACAAAAGACAAATTAGAAAATAATAACAAGTCCGGAATTTACGAAATCAGCTGCGAAGGTTGTAAACTTAAATATGTTGGACAAACAAAACGTGCAATTTCTACAAGATACAAAGAACATATCGCTCACTTTAGATTAAATAGGATAGATAAATCTAGTGTTGCCCAACATATTTTCAATACAAACCACCCTATAGGCCCTAAATGTTTAAAGTTAATCAAAGAAGTCTCTTGCAAATCAGAACTTGACGCTTGGGAAAGTTTATACATTCAAAAGAATAAAAATATTCTTATGAACTCAGATGATGGCCCAATTCCTCATTCAGTCCTGTTTCAACTATTGCAATAGGTTTAATTGATTATAATAAGATGAGCTATTTTCCTTCTCCCCTACAGTTTTCGTTTGTTGAAGCATACGCTGTAAAAAACAGTTGAACTGCGGGTATTGAACACGCTCGTTCACTGTTTTTCTTCTCCCTTTTCCCAGATTAGGTAGGTTGTGATGAAGCATACGTTTTGTACATAAAATTGGGTCATAAAGGCCTTACGAATTGTATTAACGGATATTGACACAGACATTCCCTCCAAATCTAATTCCTCACTTGTTTATCGAAGCATACATTTGTTTTTCGTGGCCAACAGATTGGCTTCTAAAACATTTTACAAATGGCATTGAACGTATTCAAGTTTTCCTCCCAAACCTATGTAAATTGTTTTCCATTATTTCTTCTTTCGGTCTTCAACCCTCGCCACTATAAATAGTTAGAATTGTAAATTTTAGAACCAGTCTCGCGTTGATAATGCCCACGTGTGAAGTGGGCGAAACACGTGTCCGCTCATATAAAATTATTTGTGGTAATTAGGGGTGAGCATTCCTTTTAATTTTTTAATTACCTATACTAATTACCATTCTAATGCATGTTTTCGTATACTAGGTTGGTTTATATTGATAGTAGTGTAAAAGAGGACATTACGGATGTAGTTAACACCCTTCAACCATCGAATTTGCTCTTAACAAGCAAGCTTTGTTTCTTAAGCTACTTAAACATCTGCCTCTTACGATTACCTTATTGATATCCAGGAAAT